GAGCGGGGTCAGCGGATGCTGACGCGCATAGTGCGAAGAGGTCGCCAACTTTCTGCAGAGTCAATCACTACAGACCTCCAAACTTCATGTGGCCTTCAGATTAGCTCAAGAACAGTGCGCAGAGAGCTTCATGGAATGGGTTTCCATGGTCGAGCAGCTGCATCCAAGCCATACATCACCAAGTGCAATGCAAAGCGTCGGATGCGGTGGTGTAAAGCACGCCGCCACTGGACTCTAGAGCAGTGGAGACGCGTTCTCTGGAGTGACGAATCGCGCTTCTCCATCTGGCAATCTGATGGACGGGTCTGGGTTTGGCGGTTGCCAGGAGAACGGTACTTGTCTGACTGCATTGTGCCAAGTGTAAAGTTTGGTGGAGGGGGGATTATGGTGTGGGGTTGTTTTTCAGGAGCTGGGCTTGGCCCCTTAGTTCCAGTGAAAGGAACTCTGAATGGTTCAGCATACCAAGACATTTTGGACAATTCCATGCTCCCAACTTTGTGGGAACAGTTTGGAGCTGGCCCCTTCCTCTTCCAACATGACTGTGCACCAGTGCACAAAGCAAGGTCCATAAAGACATGGATGACAGAGTCTGGTGTGGATGAACTTGACTGGCCTGCACAGAGTCCTGACCTCAACCCGATAGAACACCTTTGGGATGAATTAGAGCGGAGACTGAGAGCCAGGCCTTCTCGTCCAACATCAGTGTGCGACCTCACAAATGCGCTTCTGGAAGAATGGTCAAAAATTCCCATAAACACACTCCTAAACCTTGTGGACAGCCTTCCCAGAAGAGTTGAAGCTGTTCTAGCTGCAAAGGGTGGACCGACGTCATATTGAACCCTATGGATTAGGAACGGGATGTCACTTAAGCTCATATGTGAGTCAAGGCAGGTGAGCAAATACTTTTGGCAATATAGTGTATGTATGTAAATTCTAGCAGTTATATAATTTGTCTAGGCAGGGAATTAGTAATGTTGTTCACAAGCAGATGAGCAAGGCCGGTCGAAGATGCCTTCTCGATACAAAGAAACAGAAAAACCAAAACTGCAACTTCTCGAACTTTTCTCTTTTCTATCCCTCCCTCAGATTTTTTTCAATACCTTAGTCTATGTGAAAACAGCCCTCGCACAAAAATGTTGACAGGGTTGCAGCAGGCACATAAAATGTGCCTTTTAGTGCATGTATGTGTGTAACAATACAATATTTTATAGCCGTAGGAAGTAACCATCCTCCGGAAAAATGGAACACGAACAAGAAAATGGATTCCTTTAATTTTAGCATTCAATCACTCTGTTGCTGTAGATGGATTAGAGTCTGGAGTTATTTAAATCAAGGCCATGTTCTAGCACCTCATTATTCCGGTCATAATCATTTGGAAGAGGAATGAGTGTGTAGAGGATATCAGCAGTGAAGCATACAGATGTTCAGATGTTAACCCAGGTGGTTTGCTCATTACCCAGACGGTTTTAAAAACACAGCCTGAGCCATAGAAAGGACAGGCTTAAAGTTTAAATTGACTAGAGCTGAGTTAAATGAAAAAACTGGAACAACACAATGATAGTGGTGATGATTTAAAGTGTTTGGCCATTTTATTAAATGAGATTTGAAACTTTGAGTTAATGGAAAGAGGCTAGAGATCAGAATTAGCTAATTTTCTGTTTATAGATTATAAATCATTAACAAGTAATTTTTAAAAGTCCCAAAACTAAGAACCCACACAACTTTCAACTGTGAATTCATTAGCCCTTTTCAAGCTGTGACAGCAGTAAGAAATAAAATCTAAATTGGTCAGACTTCAAAGTTAGGAAGAAATCGACATGGGCAAGGAGATGCCTAATTAGTGCTTCCTAAAGTCGTAATTAAAAAAGGATTTTTAACTACTTTTTTTCCAATCTGTAGGACCAATATTAAGTATATTTGAATGTTTAAAGATCAATATATTTAAAGTTGCCTTTTAAAAAAATATATAATTTGTTAAAAATGAGTATCAAATTATGATTATTATGAAAACGCATTTTAAGAAATACTTAAATGATTTTTATAAAATGTTCAAAATCAATATCCAGAGTTAATTATACAAAAATGTTATATGTTTAAATGTTAAATAAACACCATGCATATTAGAGTACACATTAGTTTAAATATAAAATTATAAAAGTAGTACACCTTTTGTGCATTAAAAAAAAATATATTATTTTTTTATTTGTAGCTGTGAACCCCCGCAGCAAGAAAGTTCTGGTTTCAATTCATGGTCTTGGATCCATCTGTATGGAGTTAGGATTAGTGTAATATAATAAAACTGCAAAACGTAAGGTCAGATAGTTCCACACATGTTGGTTTCTGTTATGAAACCTCAATACAAAGAAGCATAATTCAAATTTCAGGGAAATTGCTAGCATTAAAAATAGCAGATCATTTTGAAATTAAAAGAGGGATACACAAAGAAGAGGTGAAGAGCACAGTTTTGCAAAAGACAAGACAAAAATCTATTAAAAATGAGTGCCAAATTTTCTGTGACTAACCTAATTCTCTTTGACACACTGTAAGTATGTTTCTCACTTAGAAACTATGGGCCTGCATACAAACAATCTTGAGCATTTTGTGTGGGATATTTAAATCACTTAAGGAGCAGATTTATCCATTAGCAGGGAATTTCCAAGATTAGGGTTCATTGGGGAACAGAGAGCATGAGCACAAAGTGTTGGTGTTAATGGATTATAATATAATATGTTATAATATATAAAATACAATATAATGGTGTTTAAGACACTGCCCATCTTTAATCGTATGTTTAATTCTATCTTAAATGTAAAGATTTGTTTTGTGGCATACCTCTGAGTTTATGCAAACCACATTATAAAATGCTATTCAATATCTGTGAAAAAGGCTCATAACAACCATATGGCATTGAGATCTTTAGCACCATTACAAGATTAAGGAACTTCAAATATGAATTCATCTAAATATTCTAGGCAGATTAATCAGGGTGTCCCAGTTAACAAAGATCACATCATAAGTGGCCAGGATTTTGTATCACAGGAATGTGCTTTTACAGTATGCAGAAGTCAAATTCTCATGAGAGAAAAAATTAGCTATAAAAGGGGTCATAATGAACTCCATTTTTTTTTCTTAAAATGATTAAACATGGAATTAAATACGATTTCAGAAGGATTGTATAAATATGACTCCTTTCAGAGTCATTTTGGCAAGCTGGCCACTACTGGAAAGGTTCACCACTGTGTCATCCGACTATGGATACTTGCTATGGCTATGCTTTGCTTTAATCACAACACAAAACTTTAGAGGTGGATCTGCAACTTTTTAAACACTTAAGCTACATTCACACTGCAGGCCTTAATGCTTAATTCGGATTTTTGTTGTGTTGCTGTTCACATTTCCAAATATACGCAGCTTGTGTGTGATCTCCTGTGTGAACTGCATTCATGCAGCTTAAGTGTCTTGCATGCGCAGTAGAGGACGAAATGACATCACAAGCAAATGTGCTTTGTGTTTACAGAAGTAAACATGGATGGTAGTGCCGGAGTGTACCTTTCCCAACCTTAAAAACTCAACGTTTTCAAGATGATTAAAAACAAAAGACTGCTCTCTGCATTATCGTCCACCATTGTGGTTGTTTGACATTCAGGTTGGATGAAGGTTTTTTTTGTTGTTGTTTTTTCCACTTTACATGGAGTTGCCATTGGTGTCTGAGCTCTTCTTATCCTCTTAAATATATAATGCTTCGATTGTTTGCTAGGTGAGACCCATTTAACACAGATGCGCTTTACGTCACATCTGCAGAACAGCATGGAAACTTCCGAGCTGAAGTGAATTAAGGACAACTGACTTACAGGCTTAGAGATGCATCACTGTTGAACTGAGGTGTGCATCTCCTCATCAAATGCTGTTTTAGTCATAAAGGGTAAAATAAAAAGGCTACTTTAAAGAGTAAATGCAGCAAAAAAATTTAAAATGTCTCTTTAAAATTGGAGCTCAGTGCTTTTTGAGATCTATTAGCCTACTTTATGTACTTGTGATTTATCATGTGAGGGCTGCTTTTTCACTCTGGCCCTGTGTCGAGGGCCCTTTACCTTAAAGATGAAATAATTTGAAAACAGTTTTTTTTTTCAATCTATTTAAAGATTATTTTCAACTGCATTAAAAACTTTATTTTATTTATATAATTTGAAATATTAAAGAGGGGCAAAAACTTTTTAAAAGTACTGCATACTTTCTATGCTCTTGAGTTTTTATGGATTTACAGCGCAAACCTTCTTAAGTAATATACGGTCTTGTTGCAAAAACTAAAACAAAACGTTTGATGTACAATATTTGTAAACATTTATTATATCTGTTAAAACATCCAACTTAAAATCATACCCACAAACGTTAAATGAATGCATATAGTCAGGTTTCCCCCCCCCACCATTTCCCTTCCCTCACCTTGTTCACTGATTGAGTTGAACAAGGTGAGGTAAGAGATGTGGAAAAAATGAACAAGGATTGGTCAATACGTCCAGTATGACTCTGTGGGTGGAAACACATGCCCACATGTTAAGTTTAAAATCCGAGATTTGACAAACCTCTCCACTAAGTGGAAAGCAAACAGCCCAGATGTTGCGGATGAGTTTGCTGCTGATGATAATGGAGCTTAGGAGATAATTACAAAGCATGCATGCGCATCACTTTACACATGAATAACCCAAACCTAATGCGCAGAAGATAGATACATGCAACCAGACATGTGCAGTGGTTTATAAATGAGTTAAGAAAACCAAACTAATTCAAACTGCCCATGCATAGATTAGGAGAATATGTTATAGTAATCTGAATTTTTGTTTTTATGCATTCAATATTTTGCAATCAAAAAGAGAGCAGCTGAAATGAATCAACCAAAAAGCTACCCTTAATCTGCTTCACAGCAAAGCTTATTCTATTTAATGGAATCCAGGTAAAAACAAATAAATAAATAAACAAATATAACTGTAAATCAAACCTACCTTTAAAAAGAAGAGCCGTCCAAATGTAAAAACTGACCGAACATGGACCCCAAAACTTGGGACACCGCATTCTAGCGCTGCTGCGAACTTCGCTGCCCGGCGGTAGATCTTCAACGTCAGAAGCCGCTCAGACTCACTGATGGAATGAACCGGAGAGAGGAGAGGCAATAGGAGGGGGAGGGGGGAGAATATGAGCAGCGGGGAAAAGGACTGACAGGCGGAGTTCAGAATGGTGCGGTCACGCAGCACCAGGTACAGATTTACTCCTAAACAGGCTGCTCTGACAGCCTGTCCATTTAGCAGGAGACATTTTTAGAAAAAACTCCGAAGGGAAAACGCACTGCTGCATCTTAATTATTAAATCAATCAAGTCAGTTTATTAATTCCTATATTTGGACTTATAAAGATAAGCATAAACTCATATTTTGCAGAAAGACAAAGATATGTCCTAAGGGGTTCGTTTTTTATAATTTTTAAATGTAATTAACGTTTAAAACAATTAGAATTAACCTATATATTTTTAAAACAGATTAAATACATTTCTTAAACAAGCATAACGTAACTGTGCTCCTTATATAAACATATAAAAAGCTTCAGAGCTTTTTATACGTTTATATGAGGAGCACCGCTAAAACTTTTAAAAATGTGCTTTCCTATATAAATTTAGAAAAGTGGTTCACAAAAAGTGATAAAGTACTGCAAAGCAAATCCTATTCGTTATTTCAAAAGAGAGCCATTATGCTCAGGCTTTAACTAGAAATAGAGATTAAGAGTCAAACAAAGGCATTGCAATTGTCTTTCCTCTGTTTTAAACCCCTTATGTAAACAACATCTTAACTGAGCTAAGGTTAAAAAAAATACAAGACTATTGCTCAGTGGTCTATATTTCCCATTTAGACTAAAGTAAATTTTATTTATTTCGAAAATCAATGTCCCCGGTTTGAATGAGTGTGGACAGGTTGAAAATCCAAGTGTTTGATATCCAGTCTAAAGTTTCCATACTCAGTGATGTTTTAGGGAGCCGAGAAATCTTCTGTTTTTGTTCCACTGTAATTATCCAGCCCTAAGGCATCAGAGGTGTCTGCCATAAAACTTTAGAGCACCTAATGCTACTCTCTGCTGACAACCTTTATGGAGATTCTGATTTAATTTTCCAATATTACTTTGCACCTGCCCACACTGAAAAAAAGTATCACTTCCTGCTTTAGTGAAAATCGTATCACTATACTTGGCAAGCCAGCAAACCCATCTGACCTTGAGCCCACAGAGAAACAGTGAAGTATTTTCCAGAGAAAGGAGAGAGACACCAGATCCAAAAATGCAAATGAGCAGAAAGTCACTGTTAAAGCAAAACAACCCTCAGTAGAGCCACTGGCTTTCTGTATTTCACACATAAAAAATAAGAAGCTGGTAACTTTCATAAGCCAGGACAGAGCCCTTTAAAATTTAGAATCTTGATAAAAAATCTGAATTCAATATATTTTATTTGAATGATTTAAGTTCACGTTCAAGCTAAAGCCAGGCAGTTGTTGAGTTAGAATGTTGTTCAGTAGCTTGGGTGTGTTTTTTTTTTTTTTTCTTAACTCACAGGTTTAAAAACAGACATCAAATATGGAGTCTGTTCTTAGTTTAATTTTAGGCTGACTTATCAAAGAACTGGGAACTTCTTAACTTAATATCGTTTCTTAGACATATGATACTAGAGAAAAGCAATAATAATTTCAGGAAAATTACTTTTATATAATTGTCTATACCAGAATTTCAGTGTTCCTACTGTTTGATAGTTTTTTATTTAATGTGATAGTAAACTATTATTTACACTTATTTTAACCCTTTATTTTTGATTCATCAAAGAAAATCGTTACTGAGGGATATTTAAATTCATTTAATTAATATTTTAAGGAACAATTTATGCAAGTGTAAATAGTGTGTCGACTAATCCTACTCGAGCCCTAATTGGAAACAAGGACACAAATTAAGTACATTAATATAACAACTGAAAAAAAATAAATAAATCCAAGCATTATCCTTAAAAAATAATTATTTGTATAATTCAATGTTTCAAATATGATGTGCCATGCTAGGCAAAGCTACTAAGTATCATTGACACCCAACAGCTTGCACCCAAAAGTATCACTTTTCTGTAATGAAGTTCTTCTCAGAGTTTCATTTTTTTTGCACCACTGGTGATTTAAACTCTGAAAGACAAAGATCGTTTGCAAACTCCTTTTGGTTTTAGACTATTATTACACCGGGGCATGCCAGGTTTACCATTTTAATAAAATTTTACTGATTTAAATATTTCAAAGGGGCCAATTTGGATCTGTCTTTTTATTACTCTCTAAATCAGAAACAACTGTCAGCCGGCACGAAAAGTTATTGATAGCTACTTTATTCATAAGGATAGAATACTCTATTGATTAGACTGTAAATATAATAACAGTAAAGTTCCTTGTTAAAAGTAATCACAATATATTAAAATGAGACATATTAGGTTTATGGTTTTGACATTTTCCTTTTTTGGCTTCAGCTGAAGAGAGCATCTTGAGAATAAATGTCTCTTTGTGCCCTCATAAGGACAATACTGCTACAGTGAAAAAAGACCTCACTGGAAACAGGTATACAACAAAACAATCTAAAACATCCAATGTCAAAGTACCAAAGAGCCCTTTCAAATACATCTAATGTACAACAGAATATTGTAAAGAAATCACATGTAATGAGCTAATTATGGTGATGTAACAAATAAATTACTTCACTGCAGAAAACTACCATTATCTTAATTTTACAACTTTGGTTATAACTGAATAATTTAACTGAGGAAGTAAAACAAACCTTTTTATTTATGATAGCTGCTCTTGTTGATATTAGTTTGATCACATATTGTGAAAGTATCACAAGTGTGTAAAACATTAGCTTAAGACTGCTTAATGATAAATGCTGTTAATTTAAAAAAAAAACAAGACAGCAGAAAAAGAAAAGGAGCTTCATTCTCCATAAGTTCTGTGTAACAGACAGAAATAGTATCTCCAGTTCATAAAGCAAGCCCTGATCACCCTGCTTGTTGCACAGCTGCCATGCTGTGCGACAAGCAGGGTTTTTCTATAAATGCACCATTTGTCGCTTTGCAATTTTCCCACTTCCTGGTGTTACAATGGCGTTCATCAGCTACATTTTTTTTAGTATTTGTCTCCTTTTTGTGCCAAGCTGGCTCACAATCAAGTGACCTATTTATTCAAGTCCATAAATAATTTCAGATGCAAACAGGACCCCACAGGCAGGGAGAAAAAACCCACACTGCCTATTTCTCCAAATGTTCTCTCTGACTGATTCCATCGTATCTCTACCCAGCAGAAAAAGGAGATTTGTCTAAACACAAGACATGGTCTCTAACTACTTTTTGCCTACAGACTTAGTCTGACATTACATGTTTACTTTATGATCAAGAAAACCATATTAATGGACATTTCACTCCAGACTGTACCTACTCACCTTCATGTTTCCACGAACATCTGGGGACGTAGTTAAAACATGGGATTGTAGTTGTTAGACTCATCATTATATCAAATAAGTCAAATGACAGGAGCACTTGGAGGCTGAAGTAGCAGCTGTAAGGTGTTTGCAACAGTCCAGTCTCTTGTGAATTATGAAGTCTTTTAATGTTTTTTAAGAATTCCAACTACCAAAAATAGCCCAGAGTGTCTGGCACCACATGGCATCATTACACAAGCGCTGTATTTAATACCAGACCACATCTGTTTCTCTGTACCTAAGCCTTCAATGGCTTTTGGCTGTTTGAGCAAAACCAGAGTAAACAAAGAAAAACAGCAAATCATGATGACAGCACGCAAAGTTGTCACCATATTTCCTTAGCCGTGAATTAAATTAGAGACTTTCCTGCAAGACTAGGATGCAAGACCTTAAATTGTCATCTTGTAAAATTGATATTGAAAGTAATTTTCTCTTTTCTATTTCATTTTATCACCACGTCTGCTTTCTTTTATTTCTACTTAAATATATAAACAAGTGATAAACTCCTTTTAGATAGGGTTCAATTTGTTCATGAGCTTTTAGTATTGATTTAAAGAAAATCTAAATAATTTTTTTATATATAAACAGAGTTATATCAGCAAAGTAGATGTTTCACATAAAGCAAAGTAGCATGATTTGTAAATAGATTAAATTGCTGAAATTGTTAAAATTGAAAACAACCATATTCAGTGCAATCTCTGGATCAATTGGGCAATAGTTCTCTGTTTTTTTCTTATTAAAACCCAAATTCAACCCTACATTTGAGAGCCTAAGCTTCCTTTGAAAGAATTATCCTAGTGGTGGGATCAACCTATCAGATGCAGATATTGGCTACTGCAAGAGACCCATCATTGCGGACAGCTATTGTTTAATGTTCAGTCAAAAAAATATTTTGGTGATAATTCAACAGAATAAGAAGAAAGCTTCACATTTAAAATCTATTACATTAATAGCCGATATTTGAAGTTATCAATAAGCATGTTTACCAGTTTAAATCTCTCTGAAATTCTAAGGCAGTGAATGAAGATTTAATGACGTCTAGAAATAACTAATTGTCTGGATTAGACCTAAAAAAAAAAAAAGAAATTAAATAAATAAATCCCTGTGAGCTAGACTAAACAGTCAAAATATGGAAAATCTAATCCACTGAAATGTGTTTTCTTTTCAATATAAATGTTGAAAAGAAAACACCCAAGAACACATAACAACCTTGGTTTATCCACATCCTCATGGCAACAAAAAGAGACTACAGTTAATTCCTCTGAAAACCAGTGGAGACTGCTCCTTTCACTTTCCTCAATCTATTCTTTATGACTTAGACTCAAACTGTACTGTAATTTTGTATGCACAGTCTTTATAAAACAATTTTTTTTCACAAACATCTTTCCAACAGTGAATGACCAGCAGCATAGCAATGAAAGTGAACATTTCAATGTATAAAGTGCAGCAGTGATCAAAATGTAAACAGTGCAGGAGAGACATGGTTCAAAAGGCATTTGTGTGGAAGGTTCAGAGCACTTCAAAAATAAATAAGTAGATTTAGTAGTGCAAAATGCAGTAGAAACACTGAGTTTAATCTTATTTTGAGGACTCACCTTGTAGTGCAAGT